GAAGCATCCAATCACCATAAGGCCAGTTTATGTTCGGATGAAAGACGTCTCGTCGGTGTCCAAGTGGTATTCCCATGACCAGTTCAAGCCCGAGAACCAAGTTAAAAAAGTCCCATCACGGGGTTCTGAGGAGGCCGTCACTAGCAAACTCCACCAAATTGCAAAGCAGTATCCAAATGTTGATGCCATAAAATGGTCAAAGAATTGCCTGAAAACATATGAAAGAGGCAAGCCCTTCCTACAAAACCGGGACATCCAGCGCCTACCACTTGGAATGAGAAGGTTCCATGATTGGTACTTGCGTGTTCTCCCAACGAGCATAGACCTCATACAAGCATGCTTCCCCACCGGCACATTTGGAAGCCCAGCCGAGAAAATTGTCTTTGACTTCAATGACATGCAGACATGCTTTCACTTGGGAGCAATGGAGATGAATCTAATTCACACGTGGTGCCTGTAAGTCCTTCTCCTCCCGATATGATATGAATGTAATCTTTGAATTTTGTTGTAACTAACCCACGTCGTGATTTGTAGAATGCAAGTGCACATTGTCAAACAAATGCCAAGTGTGAAATCCGGGTATATAGACCCTCAAGCTATAGCCCAAACAAATTTTAATTACCCTAAACAGTGGAAACTGGATGCCAAAGAGCTAGCTGCTGCAAAGACTCTTCGAGAGAAAGAGCACATCCATACGGCGAAACTAAGGGAAGAGTCCCTTAAGGTTGCAGCATACATTGCCCTGGCTTTCAAAATTCTCCAACAGCACTCTACTATATGGCTACCATACAACTTTGAGTAAGTTCAACTCTATACTTAAAGCTTTGTTTAATATAGTTTATTCGATGCAAAAGAGTTTATCTAGTTCTATGATTAAATCCATGCAGCAACCACTAGATTTGTATAGCCGTCGATGTCGGGAGGAGCATGGCATGGGTCTTTGATTCAATAGATAGGGACCCGGTGACATACAAAGACTTCATATCAATTCTCAAGACGTATACATATCAACAATCATCATTAGCTTATATGTTTGTATACATACTTGTAACATTGACTTTTGGATACTAACAAGTTGTATTTGCTAAAATAATTCAAACAGGGCATTTAGGTTCTATGTCACTACACATCACGAAAGGCATGATCCAGCAAGGAAGGAAAAGCTATAAAAACACCATGTGTGGTAAGTGTAACTTACTTCTTCAGTACTCCATTACATGGCTGTTAAAAGCATTACTTAACATTTTCATATGCAAAACACACAGTGCCCCAAGCAGAAGCCTGGGAGTGTACATTGTGGATACTATATATGTTCTATGATGAGTAACACCAGTGCCTATAGAAGACACCCCTTAAGGGTAAGTTTGAACCTCTTCACCCGTAGTATAAAAACTTCGTACATGGTATGAAATACTAAAACAAAACTTGTTCTCTTGTAGTGGAAAGAAGAGAGAGAAATGAAAAGAGACCCATACAAGGATGACCAACTCTTAGAGCTCGTCGGCGACCTTTGCAACTTCATATTGGACCAGATTGTACACGTCAAAGGTGCCTACCATGACCGAGAGTCTGACTTAGGTAGTAATCCCCAGTACCAACACCTTCGTGAGACTGAAAGGCTAGCTCTAGGACGTTAATAACAATGTGTATGGAATTTGACATTGGTTTTACCTTGTGAATTATGTCTATTTAATGATGGCTTGTATATATTCCTGTGAATTGGACTTGTAATTGTAGTTTATATAATACTCTTGTGCTGGTAGTCTAAGGGGTTCGGAACGATGGTCGCGCGGCGTTCGGCAACGCAAACGCGGTTCGGAACGTTGGTCACGGGGCGTTAGGCAACGTGAACGCGGTTCGAAACGTTGGTCGCGGGGCGTTCGGCAATGCGAACGCTGGATGGAATACGCAGAAACAAACAGTGTTCTGGTCGAATTTGAATTGTAAATTTGAATTTTTTTTGCGGGAAAACATACTATAGGGACGGTTCTAGACTGAACCGCCCCTACAAACAGATATTATAGGGGCGGCTGGTACCTACAAATCGGTTTGTAGGGGTGGCTGGTACTACGGCCGCCCCTACAAATCGATTTGTAGGGGCGGCCTGAGAACCGTCCCTACAAATGCATGATTTGTAGAGACGGTTTGGTAGGGGCGGCTGGCCAAACTGCCCCAACAAAGGGTTACGAGCCGCCCCTAAAAAATGTCTCTGTAGTAGTGTACTATTATTGAGCATTCGTCTACTCTGTTCAAAATGGCCTGAGTGTTCTCGTAGATGTGTGCTGCGCTTGGGCCACAAGTTTGTTGCCTGTTGTTTGGGTTGTGAAGTGTTTCATGGGCTAATAATAGATAGGCCTAGGAAAGCCTAGAGGAACACTAGAGTTGGGCCGAAAAAACAAAGAAATGTTGTCGCATCGCAACTTGACTAAAAAAACTGTGTCCCAAACTTTTTTTATTGCCTCACCCTTTGTGTACAAGTTGTAGTATCTGAACTTACGCACAATTCACACCTCACACCTCACGCACACACACCACTAGTGCGTAAGCTAGACCTTACAACCTATATTTAGGGCTAACAAAGACATGGTCGAGAGATATGACAAGGTGGTTCATCCGCATGAGGCAACCGGATTTATTAAACAAGAATAAATCCCACAGGTGAGGCTCGCATAGTTCGTCCCACCCGGGACCGAACTCATGAGCGGTCCCTCCCACACCCGAGAACTATGTCCCAAACCTGAATGAATAAGGAATAAGACCACATGCAGTCCCACCTCTAGAAACATAGCTGAAATCTACCGGTTTGATCCATTTGCCCGCAAGCAATCTATGCACGGTTGATGAAAATTCAAAGCCGGTCCTTCGACTTCAGCAGGACATGTCACTTAGAACTATCCATTCTCAAAATGCTATTTCTAGGTCCATGAACATGGCTTTAGCTATCATTCAGGTCCAAACAGGTCCTAACTCGCTCAGTAGTCGACGTGGCACTGGTAATCGTATTGACGTGACCCCTACTTGTAAGGCCAGTCCTTCAACTTGGCAAGATGTGTCACCTAGGCCCCTCTCTCTCAAATGCTATTTCTGGATCCAAGAACTTGGCTTGGATATCATCTTGGTCCAAACAGGTCATAACCTACTCTATATGTCGACTTGGAACCAAATGATCGTCATAAGGTCATTGCTCATTCCAGAAAGCAAAAGCGACATGGCTCTAGCGGTGGCCATGGCTACGATACAAGGGCCGTCGACGGACATGGCTATATGCGCGGTGGTCATGGCAACGATCGGGGCTACAAGCATTGGCACATGGTAGCAAGCTGCAGGCTATGGCATACATAGCCGAGCACATTCTTGTGGTAGGCAACATTGTCGTCTGGTGGTAGAGGATGACGAATGAGACATGAGAGGGAGAAAGAAAATTTGCAAGAAAAAATAAAATAGAAATATATTGCACCTGACATGTGGGCCCACATGTAGGGGTCATGTCAATGCATTGTCAACGTGTCACGTCTCTGTAAAGAGCGGATTAGGACCCGCTTGGACATGAATGATGTCCATGGTCCATCCTTTAGCCCTCGGTCCAAGCCTTCCTGTCCGCCCTTCACCCTCCCAGTCCATCACGCACGGACTCCTTGCTTGACCTTCTCCATTGCCATTGATCGTCTCACGCTCAACACATGCACATCCCCAAGCCAAGAGATATATTGCACACATAATTCTCACCTTAGTTAGTAACACAACACACTTAACCGAAGCTCCAATTACTTCCTTGACAATCACTCATCACTCACACATGGGCACAAACCAACCATGTATTCACAACATCTGCGCACTAGCTTGGAGTGTTGTGCAAGAGCTACCTTGTTATTTTGGTGTCGTTGATTCTTTCTTGTCTCTTCAAAAGATCCGCGAGGCAAGCTATTATTATCTTTTGCTTTCTTGGTCCCTTTCAAAAAAATTATCTTTAGACTTCTTGGTGATTTGGTTTTGGTTTTGCCATTTCAATCGAGGTTTCCAATCAATTTTGGATATAAATAATTGAGTGTCAAGAGAAGGAAGGTGTTAGCATATCAATAGTTATAGTCTCTTTGTTTTCTGTTTTCCTATCTCTTTGTATCCCACCATGTGCTCTCTAAGCTTTGTTACAGTGCTTGGGAGGAACCAAAAATTATTTGGGGCAGCAGTTTATTAAGAATTGTAATTAAGGGCAGATTAGATCTTTTCCTACTCTACAAATTCTCAACTCCCTAACCCAAATCAATGAAGGCACAAACTGCTCCGTGCCCGTATATTAGCGAGATCTGTGTCGCAGCCTCCCAGCATGCCGCCCACCTCGGCGCCTCCCAGCTCGTCGCCCGCCTCAGTGCCTCCCAGCCCGCTGCCTCCTAGCTCGCCGCCCGCCTCGCTGCCTCCCATGTCGCCGGCTCACCGCCTCACCGCCAATCGAGTCCACTACGTGAAAAACAGTTTATAGCAATGTGGCTTTTTTTAGGGGCGGCTGACATTGGAGCAGCCCCTACAGTGACGTTCTCGGGCTCCAGCATAGCAGCCACCCCTACAAATGGTAGAGTAGGGGCGGCTGGTAATATGAGCTGCCCCTACAAATGCGTCGATTTGTAGGGATGGCTGGTATGTAGAGGTGGCCACATCATCCGGAATTCAATCAGGGTGGCCACGTCGCCTCAAATTCGCTTACTTGGACAGGAGCGGGCCACGTCGCCTGAAATCCCCCTCCACAACAATATCAGCACGCTCCCTTCTTCATCACAAAAAAATACAAAACTCGCCCCATCCTATCTCTCTCGGTCTCCCGAGGCGACGGCGCCCCCCTAGGGCGGCGTACCTGCCGCCCCTCCCCCTCTGTTCCCCTCGCCGGTGAGTCCGCACCGGCGGCCTCCTCCCCCCTCCATTCCCCTCGTAGGTGAGTCTCGACAGTCTCTTCTCTTCCCCTCCCTCTCTCTCCCCATCTCTCTCGATGCGGCAGGGCGGCGGCGTGGATGGGCCTCCGCGGTGACCTACCCTCGGCGCGGCTGTGGCCGTCCTTCTCCTCGTCCACGCCCCCCTTGTGCCAGGCGTGGGTGCCACCCGCCGCTGCCTCATTCTACCGATTCACGTGTGTTCCAGTGCTTCACGAAACCCTAGCTGCCTCTGTTCGACGAAACCAGCTACATCACGAGCCACAGACCACACAGCACGACCGACCCCGGCTACAGGTGGCCTCTTCCTCGCCGGCAGCGCCCGCGGCTCAGCTCGGCTGCTAGATGTGGCAGTGCCTCATCCCCTTCTCCTCCTCTGTCTCATGCTCCTCCACTAGATCATCTATCTTCCCATTTTCCCCTTTGTGTAGGTAATTGGGCGCTACAATATCTTTACAGAAATCAAGGGCACTCAAGTTACATGGCGACGGTAATGTTCAGACCATGGCTATGTGCAGCACCTCTATAATTTTTTGCCTCAAAAATTTTCTGTCGTCTTACCATATCTGAACTTTGTAGCTGATATTCCTCACATCCCTCGTGCAGGGCACCGATTGGCAAGCGGAGTTGCACCTATGAATCAAGCAGTCCCATGAATGCACCCCTTTTGAACCCAGGTCTCCTCTGTGATGCCCTCTAGGTACTTCCCCTCTCCATTTTCCTTTCCTGTATTTTGAATGTTACCAAAAAACTAGGATTGGAGTGTGGTGGACTTTTCTATTGTTATGGCAAAATTTGTGCAAGAAAAGGTTACTAATCGCATGGATTGATGGCTCCCATTCTAAAGTTCGATCCATTAGCTTTTGAAACCAATTTGTTTAGCCAACTTTGGGGGCCACATGACTGTTTATATGGCCATGCATTTTTTCTAGCAATATTCAGAGTTAAAGTGCCTCGCTACACAGAGTTTCAGAGAGGCTAATTATTCCGGTCCTTTGGCTTGAGCTTCTCATATGCCAACTATAATTCTATACTCATATATGCAGTTATATATATGCAGCTATATTCATATCTACAATGTCATTATGGCCTAGCAGTTCTCTTTTGCATGTGTTGTTTTGTTTTCATTAGTTGCTACGCTTTTGTGCATTTGTTGCTGAGCACAGGTCCATTGTCAATGATGTCTTTAGTTCACATAATTCCCTCGTTGTTATGTTACTGAGCACATCCCATTGCCAATGATGTATTTACTCAGCACATATTCATGGTTGGGTGGCTGCAATAGGTGCCTCTGTTTTAGTTTGCTACAAATCTATCTTCTTTGTTTTTTTCCTTATATGTTTCGGTCCTATTCTTCTGGTTGTTATGCAGCCTTAGATTCATTCATAGTATTTGAAATGGACATTTTACTCTTTATATTACTGCAGCCAAATCATGTGAATTACTAGGTTGCTGTGTGTACCAGAAAAGTGCATCTGCAGCCTTCCAAGCTGTGTGACTGCGTACCTTCCCACCTTCACATGTTTAGTTGATGAAGTATTTATTGATTTCTTGTTGCCTATTGACATGACATGTTTACATAGTATAAATGTGCTTGTTGTATTAAATTCATGCAGCAACCACTGAATTTGTATATGCGTCGATGTCGGGAGGAGCATGGCATGGGTCTTTGATTCAATAGATAGAGACCCGGTGACATACAAAGACTTCATATCGATTCTCAAGACATATACATATTGACAATCCTCGTTAGCTTATATGTTTGTATACATACCTGTAACGTTCACTTTTGGACAATAACATGTTGCATTTGCTAAAATAATTCGAACAGGGCATTTAGGTTCTATGTAAATTACACTTGTAATGTTAGTTTATATAATGCTCTTGTGCTTGTGGACAGATTTGAATTATATATATATATGTTCCGGTCGAATTTGAATTATAAAATTGAAATTTTTTTTGGCGCAAAAATGTACTGTAGGGGCGGTTCTAGACTGAACCGTCCCTACAAAGAGGTATTATAGGGGCGGTTGGTACTACGGCCGCCCCTACAAATCGATTTGTAAGGGCGGTCTGGAAACCGCCCCTACCAATGCATGATTTGTTTAGACGGTATGGTAGGGGCGGCTGGCTGAGCCGCCTCTACAAAGCCTCACCAGTCGCCCCTAGAAACCATTCTTGTAGTAGTGGTCGACACCGCCCTCACCACCACGACGCGTCTCCCTAGGGTCGCCGCCCGCCTCGTTGTCTCTCCGCCTGCCGGCTCGTCACCGCCCTCACCTCCACCACGCACCTGCCTACGGTGATAGGGTCGCCGCCCGCCTCACCACGGTCCTCACCAGCAGCACACGCCTCCTAGGGTCGCCACCGTCTGCCTGCTGCTCCAAACTAGGGACAGATATCAGCTCTCCTCGCCGCCGGCCATTTTCCTAGGAGTCACCGGCACCTGCCTCCGAGGGGTCGCCGTCTTCCTACAACTGGTGTCTTCTGCATGGGTCTGAGGACTCGTTGCTGCTCCAAATCGCCGGCTGCGGCAGAGGGGACGGGACAGGAATGGCGGCAAGAGCCTAGCCCTTCTGCGCCTGGCCTTGTCGCGAAGATTGGAGGAGCGAGGGGTGCACCTGGCTCGTCTTCCTATTTGCGGAGAAGGTCGATGCCTCTTCAGAGTACACAGGTTCGATATCTCCCATAGACTGCTCCTATATGCTCCTGGCTTCGTGATCTGAGAGACATGCTAGCAGTTAAGAGTTTGCTTTTGGTGTGAAAGCATCCAACACTATATGTGAATTTTTCTTTCTGTGAAATCATCCAACACTATATGTCAATTTACTTTCTAACCTGTCCTTTAGCTGGTGGCTGTTAAATTTGATGACAAAAAAGGTAGGAAACAAAAAATGCAAACCAATGATGGCATGTGTGTTACTGTTTAAACCGATTGCACAATACATGTGTATGCAATGCAGCTGCATATTTGCACAGTACAGGCTCTATTGTCCCATATTTACTTCTGTTTGTCACTTGCCTGTATGCTGCAGCTGGTGGTCGGATCATATATGGTCGATTCTTTCAGGAAAAAGATTGTATTTCCTTTTTTAATGTTTTTGAGTTCCAGACATATATACTAGGTTACTAGGTTCAATAACTGAATTGTTCAGTCAAAAATGTGGAGCTGGACATTGCAGTTTGTATGGAGGAATTAGGACAAAACTACTGAGTTCACTGATTTTTATTTGTGATGAAAAAATAGAATATGGGCCTCCATTTTGCAATGATAACAGGAGCAAAATGGTTTCAACACCGTTTGGATGTTCGTGCTGGCTGCCATATGTTAGATTGTTTTTGCTATTTGATTGAGATACCTAATGAATCTTGTCATGTTAACTATTGAGTGGTTCTGACCAGTTTACATTATGCAGAAAAAATGGTTGATCTGAGTGAAGAGGCTCTACTAGATTATCATCAAATTGTCAGCAAGACATTCCGAAGTGAGGAAGAAGGGTATGGGTTCTACAACAGCTACGCATTTGATAGAGGGTTTACCGTGAGGAGATGCTACGTGGAAAGAGACACGACAACTAAGGATATATGTCTCAAGAAATTTGTCTGCAGTCGTCAGGGGTTCCATGAAGCTAAGCACATGAACAAAGCGATTAAGAAGAGAAAGCCACGGAATTTGAGTCGTTGTGGGTGTCTAGCCAAAATGGTGATTAAACTCAACAAGGATACAGGACAGTGGTATGTCAAGGATTTCATTGATGAACACAACCATCCATTGGCCTCACCAAATTTAGCTTGTCTCTTGCGATCCCATAGAGGAATTAGTAATGAGCAGAAAGCTGACATCATTGAGATGGAAATAGCAGGAATTCGTAAACACCAAATCATGAATATACTGGAAATGCAGTATGGTGGATATGATAAGGTTGGATGTACATCAAGGGATCTATATAACTTTTGCTATCGATACAAGCTAAAAACAATAGAAAGAGGCCATGCTGAAACAGTTATTCGTCACATGAAGGAACAGTGTGAGAGGGATCTTGATTTTTTCTTTAAATATGTTCTTGATGAGGAGGGGCATCTGAAGCACTTGTTCTGGTCTAATACTCAATCTCATCTTGACTATGAAGCATTTGGTGATGTTCTTGTTTTTGATATCACATACCGGACAAATCCATACAGTTTGCCTTTTGTGCCTTTTGTTGGGTTGAATCACCGTCGGAGCACAGTTGTATTTGATTGTGGCCTAATATCCCATGAAACAAGTGAGTCGTATGAGTGGCTATTGCAAACATTCCTCACTGCGATGGCTCAGAAGCATCCAATATCCGTGATCACAGATGGTGATCTTGCAATGCAGAAAGCTATCAAAACAATCTTGCCTCATTCCACCATCGGCTGTGCACATGGCATATTGAGCAGAACATACTGCGCAATTTGCACAATTCTAAGATCAGTGAAGAGTTCAGAACATTTCTGTACGATTGATGTTCCATAGAAGAGGTTGAGAGGAAATGGGACGAATTTTTGGAAAGGAACAAAATTTCAAGCAAGCACGAGTGGCTGTATCAAATGTACCAGATGAGGAACCTATGGTGTGTTGCATATCAGGTGGGCTGGTGTTTCTTAGGCTTGAGGAGCAACCAACACAGTGTGAGTCTTAATTCAAAACTGCATACACATCTGGATAGGAAGATGACGCTATTAGATATGTATGAACACTATGAGCATTGCTTGGCCAATCTGTGTTGAAATGAGGCATATCTAGATGCTCCGGCATCTCAATCTATTTCATTCACTGAAAAGCAAGGTGATCCTATGGAGAAACATGCTGCTCGTGTTTTTACACCTAAAGTTTTTGCATTGGTGAAGGAAAAAATGGATTCTGTAGGTAATTATGTTATCTAGGAAATACTAGATGGATGTGGCAGCACAGCATATGTCATTGGTGTGAAGAACAGAAGGGAGTGGAAGTTCCAGGTTCATTGTGAAATCGATGATGAGTCCATAATAAGTATGATTCGGTGCTCTTGTCGTAAGCTGGAACGTGATGGCATACCTTGTGGTCACATCTTCTGTGTCTTGAAAGTATTGCATGCAGAAAGAATTCCAAGTTGTTGTGTGGTTAGTAGGTGGTCCATGAGAGCAAAAGCTGGATTTCCTCCAATAAGGAAAAGCAGCATGTACGATACTTCTCAAAGTCTAGAGAAGTATCGTGAGCTCCGCAATTTGAGTCATGAGGCATCTCAAAGCATCCCAGTCAGATGAAGGCTTTTTGTACATGAAGCGTGTTCTCTGTGAAATAGTTGGCAGCAACGATGCTTCTAATGCCCAAGTAAACAATGTGAGTTGTGGACCAGTGTTGGCGCAGCCTTCGCTTGCTGAGTTACCTAATGACGTCAAGGTTCTAGATCCTGTGGCCGTGAAGTCTAAAGGTGCGCCTAAGAAAGAGAAACGTGTTAAGGCATTCCAGAAAAAACGACGAGAAGTGACTTGTAGCCAGTGTAAGAAAAAGGGTCACAATAGGCGTACATGCTCCGAGTTAAAAGAACTAGTACATACTATTTCCAAAGTTATCCTCTATTTTTTTGTGTCTGCTTTCCTTGTGAATCCGATGTGAAAGTTCATTTTTGGTTTCATATAATGATTTGTAGGAAATGAAGGATGAAGGATCAGATGCTGGAATGAGGTATTACATAAGGGGAGAGCAACACGCTAATGGTGAGGAGGCTATGTTTGTCACCATGGAATTAAAAACCTGTTTGATTTTAATGATTGTATTCTGTTTTGTATGCCTTAACAGTAGTTATAAGCATATATCTATACTCTGTGAAGTAGTCATCTTATAGTTTCATCAACGCTTTCTGTACATCATGTGTTTGGGCCTTGCGTTACTTTAGCAAATCTGACGACAACACATGCCTAGGACAGTGCTTGCATCTTCCGATCCATCTAGCAGCCAACCAGTATGGGAGTTAACTTGCCCTTCCAAATCAAGAAGGCCTTTTCATATGTTACATCTTTTTGGATGAATTGCTTGATATGCTTTGCCCAGCTACAGGTTGCCAGGTTTCCTTGCAATGGATAAAAGAGCAATTCTCTGCACATAATTAGTGGATGAATCCTACCTATATTAAGTGGGAACTTTGCAGATGCATGGATGAATTCTCTCTATTTTCAGTAGTTTACCATTAGCAGTTAGAACTAAACAATGACAAACTGAGAAAATTTGGGTGTTAGGTATATATTTGTAGAGCTATGGCAGGACTCTTATATCATGTGTTTTGAAAAGGCATTAGAAAAGCAAGATGCATATGGATAATTTACAGTGGTGGGTCACTGAGAAGTAGGATATCGCAATGCTTTCCTGCTTTTCTCTCATGTTCATTCCAATATGTCATGCCTTAGACCCTTAGTAGAGCTTCTAAAGTGTGTCAAACTGTATGCTCTTATCTACATGTTAAAGTTATGTAGACTCAAAAAATTCTTAGAAACTGGTGTCCTGAAATTGCAATTGTTGTTTTAGCAAGGTCGGTTTCTCTTACTATATGGTGAAAAAATGATGAGAAAAAGTTGTGTGAATATTGATGTGTATTTTTTGGTGTGCCCACAATAAAGTGAGAATCAATTTTCTGCTCTGTAGGAGGTAAAACGTTGTGTGGTATGGGATCGAAATTGGGAGTAGGGGATATCGGCAAATGGATCGCAATAGACAATTGAGGGCGTGTTTCGTTTATAATCAGTTTTTGGACGCCATATGGGTGTTTGTGATGGTATCCAAAATATGTTTAACTGCTCCATGGAAATTAAACAGAATCGATGATTTCACTTCTTCATTTTACTACGGATAGGTTGCTAGAGAGCCTGTTCATTAATTTTTTAACAATTTTTCTTTGTTGAGAGAGTTTGATGCATAGATAACAGGTGATCTGAATATGACATTTTTTCTTTTTATCCCAGAACTACAAGACCATTTTGAAAGGTTGAACGGGATATGGAAGTTCTGAAGCTATATTGTTACACTGAAGTTCTGAACGGCTGATGAAACCAATTTAGTCAAATTGCATACTAGGGAGCTTTTGTTGCTACAGCAGTGTACCAGATTGTCATTAATATACAATTAAAAGTAAAAATGCTAGATCTGAACTTATGAGTAAAGTACTTTGTCAATCTGAAGAAAGACAACCATCTGTCTTAGTAGCAGTAGGGATTTATTTTCAATGATGTGTTATTGTCATGAGGAAGAGAAGATAAATGAAATATGATCTTAGTCACGTGGTTCCTATTTTGCTAAATTAGAGTCTCGGCCTAGTATGATGTGCTCTGTTGTCTCAATTTTTGAATGTCATGTTCTCCTGAAGCTACGTCCGGTTCGTCCGTGAGCAGGCTTTGCACAGCTTATCGTCTCAATCCAGTGGGCCTGGCACGAATTTACTTAGCAGGCTTGCAGGCGCCAAAGGAGCCTGCTATGCCCATCAGCAAGGCGAAGCCCACGGGAGCTGGGCCGGCCCATGCGTGAATTGCGGGAATTTGCGAGCTGGGCATGCGTGAGCATGTTCAGCCGGCCGGCCCATGCGCGACCAGCGGAGCAGGACAGGAAAAAAATCATCCCCGAGGTGCAAAGCGGGCCGGCCTATGCGCCGAGGCATGAAGAGTGCAGATTGAATTTTGTACCACCTCGCCTACGTAGAAGAACGCAGCTCAAGTTAAAATTGAGAACACCATTACTAATTTTTCGATTTACTAGTACCCTTACACTAGTATATGGCGCCTGTGCTCAAGGCTGGTACTGCCTGGTGCTCTGCTCCACTGAGTACGAAGCACAAATTTTCCTTCACAATTCTTTTGCATCCAACCGAATTCGGATGAGGATATATTTTTTTGAAGTTCTCATAATTTGCAATTTAAATTTTCGAAATCTTCAAATGAACTCGTTTGAGGATATGACTAAAACTAAAGTTTTAGGCCTCGGTGAGGTCTACAAATTTATAGTTGATAACTTTTTCATTTAAATTCATTTATGATCCTAGAATTATGTCAGAAGTTTTCATATATCGAAATTCAAATGTAATAATATCTAAACTTAGTTAGAAAAATCTACAAACTTGCGTGTCAACATGATTTTGATGGATAATCATTGCATAAAAATTTTAAATGATTTCATCAAAGCAGTGATGCACATTGTTCACAAATGGATACATGTCACGTATAGTTATATGGCTAAGTGGGAGATATTTCTATTTCTGAAGGGTGTATAGTCCCATTTTATTGAAATTGCTTGAAATTTTTATGGAGTGATTATGGACCAAAAATATGTTGTTGTGTCAATTTGCGGAAATATCTGACCAAATTTAGTTATTATTGTAATTATTTGTTGAAGTACCATATAATAAATGTAATAATATCTAAACTTGGTTAGGAAAATCTACAAACTTGCGTGTCAATATGATTTTGATGGATAATCATTGTACAAAAATTTCAAATGATTTTAGCAAAGCAGTACTGCACATTGTTCACAAATGGATACATCTCACACATAGTTATATGACTAAGTGAGAGATGTTTCTATTTGTGAAGGGTGTATGGTCCCACTTTATTTAAATTGCTTGAAATTTTTATGGAATGATTATGAACCAACAATATGTTGTTGTCTCAATTTGCGTAATTATCTGATGAAATTTAGTTATTATTGCAATTATTTGTTAAAGTACCATGTAATAAATGTAATAATATCTAAACTTGGTTAAGAAAATCTACAAACTTGCGTGTCAACATGATTTTGATGGATAATCATTGCATAAAAATTTTAAATGATTTTATCAAAGCAGTGCTGCACATTGTTCACAAATGGATACATCTCACACGTTGTTATATGACTAAGTGAGAGATGTTTCTATTTGTGAAGGGTGTATGGTCCCACTTTATTTAAAATTGCTTGAAATGACCAGAACCAAAGTTGTAGATCTGGATAAGTTCTACAACTTTATTGTTGATGACCTTTTCATTTTAACTCCTTTATTATCCCAAAATTCTATTTGAAATTTTTCATATCTTGAAATTTAAATTTCAAACTATTTAAACAAAATCGAATGAAGAAAATGAGTTGAAACCAAAGTTGTAGAGCTCGATGAGTTCTACAACTTTATTGTTGACCACTTTTACAAAATGTCAAATAATTTGAACGATACTTGTGTCTTAATTTATTAATCAAAAATAGAAAAATAGTAATTATAAAAGGGACTAGCAACCTCATGTGAAATTATGAAAGGATATGTGTATGGATTGATTATAGATGTTTTTTTTATGAAAGAATCAATGGATTTGGAGTTGAATGGGGAAGTTTTGTATTTTCTTGGGTTTATTAAAAAAGACGTAGTCCAACTAAGTCAATTATGCCATGCGGGACCCAACTGGTGACACGATATGGCCAACCAAACGCGGCTCTATGACCCAAATTGGGGGAGGGATCCGTTTCCGCTTCATTGCAAAAAAAGATTCCCAAATGACGCCGCAAAAGAAGTATCTCCGTGAGCTCACATGCGCAAATGGTACGCCCCACACGTCGTTCCGAATTGAGGCCCACTAAGCAAGAAGTGGCATAGTTGGTTATCAGCCCATTCTTGGCTTTCACAATGGTCCGCTGAGTCAACCACATTCTCCATGACGCCGACTCACCCACGCACATCGACATCAACCCGTACAACTTATTCACCTTCTTTTCATCACCATTAGCAACCTCCGCTTCCGACTTCTATCCGCAGGCCGGCCTCCATACTCTTGTTCCCAAATTTAAGACGTAAGCCATACGTGTTGCGCAAGCCTAACTAGCTATATCCTAGAACATGATGGAACTCTGAGGATGATTAAGGTTTCGGTCTTCTCAAATGACTTTGATGTCTTTAAGGGAGGCAAAATGTCTGATATATATATATATAGAGTGTCTAACGTTATTAGATCAAACCGACTAGAGAAGAACGAGATGCAATATAGGAGGCGGTGGGAAACCGACTTGAATTCATGAAGGGATATGTGTTTGCCCAGGGGTTGGGCGCCTATAGGTGGGGCCTAGCAGCCCCTCGCCTTGGAGTTGGAATGGAGTCCTCTCGAGTCTTCTAGTGTCCGCTTTCAAGATGGATAAGCGCAATTAAATCTGACATGTAGGTCCACCTAGACGGTTTTTTGGATAAACCCTGCAGAAATCACAGATTCACCAAAACTCGTGGAATTTATTAATTTAAACCCTTAGACCATTGTTGATGATTTCAATTGTACCCTTATGCATGTTTTATTGATGATTTATAATGGTTGTTATCTACCGTCAACATTCCTCATTTCCTCCATGTAGGTCCATTCTTTTCCCCTAGTCTTATTCATCGTTGTTTCTGTCTTTATAGGATGGTGCTAGGCTAATAAGCTACAAGTTTTAAGCAACACCCGACTTGTTAATGGTTTTAGAATTTTTATATATTTAAATATTAAAATTGAATAATGTTCATCCAACGTCCGTTTGAATTAAAAGTGCTGTAGGTCTATGCTTTGGTATTTTAGTAGGTATAAATGTTAATATGATTAATTACTAACATAAATTTGATTTTAAATTAGAATTTGCTTAGCTCCAAAATACACCATATGTAATTCGAATAGATGGTGTCACATGTCAATTTATTTTGCGATATAAAATTTAAATAACTTAAATAATATGAGACATGTTTATAAATAAAACATGAGTAGTTCCAACTTGGTTTTTAAATTAAAAATACTGCTTGAATTAATATTACTCCCATAGTTTTTCTTAATTAACATAAATCAAGCTCGTAGTTGTTTCTTTTATAATGTAAACTTCTTAGTAGAGTGTTCAACCTCTGCAGAGTGTAAAACTGGTATATCACCCGTGCTCATGGTCACGAGCGGCCTTGGACCCTTATGAAATTGATGATCATTAATGATAATTATGTTTGTGCTATTCATTATTCATGTTTATCTGATCATGTGTTTATATGGGCTTGTGATAAACTTGTTGCTACTCAATTGCTTAAAATTGTGACTCATAAAAGCTTACCGCGTAGTTAAACCAGTGTCTATCTTTTGAGCGTCATGAACCCCATGTTATAATTGTTGAGTACGATATGTACTTACACTTGCTTTACATTCAAATTTTGGAAAAACCCTGGATGGGTGACAGAAGGTGGAGCTAGTGAGTTTCCTGAGATGTGCTAGGCGAATGTACCCCTAGTCAACCGTCCCTGTGGTGTTTGGAGGCTTCGCTTGAAGATTAGAACTTATGATTCCGCTACTTTGATGCAAGTTTTATCTCCTTGTAAGTGATAATGTTATATTGTTATTCGTTATATAATAAAGTACTGTTTTTTGATACTATTGTAATTTGTCTTTATATGTGTGATTTGACTTTCTGGGCACACATATAGTTGATACTCAGTTTTGTTTTTAAAACTGGGTGTGACACATTAACTAATATTTGTCTTCAAATCTAAGATTTTAATCATACAAATTGACAAGTCCAAGTGCATACAAATTGACTTGACCCGGTGCCGTGCCAAAGAAGGCAAATCAACAAAATGTTCCCCACAAAAGACAATATGGAAAACACCACTATCATAAAGGGCCAAATCAGATTTGGACAGAGAATCTTGAACCGGTAGACGATTGCAACTACGGATTTTTGTCAGAATAGAAATTGACGAGACAAGGCGCACATGGACGCCGATTTATTTGGCTTGTTCCTGCTGAAAAGTAATGTACTACTTTGATAAGCAGTAGAACACATGAGTAAGTGGTGCTCAAGGTGATCTTCATCAAGGCCGCTGCAATGCTCTTTATTATATAAACCACTGCACCTGAACTAGCCGAGCGTACATACAGTTTGGTTAGATACTTACCCCAGCGCCAAGGATCAACAGTTGGCAAGTGTACAATCCGGCCAACCAGAGGTGCCTATATCCTGCTTTTCGTCGTCTTACTAGATATTTGCTTGTCACTCCTACTATGTTCGACTTAGATACTAGTTAAATTCTTTCGCAAAAAAAAAAATACTAGTTAAATTGAGATCATATCTTGTGGAAGTTAGCGATGTACAAACCTTGCTAGTGAAGTAAAACTGCTCATAAGCTTTGTTTTCCATGCACAATGTCTGCGCTTTGTATGTTGCAGGTAACACACAGAGCTATATGCTGTCCATGTGGCTCATGAGGTCCGCCATGATTGGAGTGCTGGTCCTGCTGCTGTTTTATGGGGCTGAATACGCTAACTGCTCTACGGTCCCCCAAAACAGCACCGACATGCTCTCGCTGCTCGATTTCAGAAGAGAAATCACCAGCGATCCAAGAGGTTTCTTCAGTTCGTGGAACAGCACCGCCGACTACTGCAGCTGGAATGGCATCACATGCAGTAGAACGCACCCAAGGCGCGTCAGGGAGCTTAACCTCAGAAATCAAAGCCTTGAAGGCCGAATCTCTCCATCTCTTGGTAATCTCACCTTTCTTAGAGTACTCGACCTGTCGTCAAACAGCTTCTTTGGTCAGCTGCCCCTTCTTAATCGCCTCGTTAGGCTTCAGGACCTTGTTCTGAACAATAACCGGTTGCAGGGTTTTGCTCCTGATGCACTTATAAACTGCTCCAACCTGCACTCTTTAACCCTTTCATCAAACCTATTAGCTGGGCCAATACCAACCAGTATCGGTTCCCTCTTTAACCTTAAGTACCTGTTCCTTGATGGTAATAGTTTCACTGGAGGGATCCCATCAAGCCTGCTCAATATCTCTAAGCTAGAGGAGCTCGTCCTTACTTCAAACATGTTAGGTGGCCCAATCCCACCCAGTATGGCTCGCCTCTTTAACCTTGAGTACCTGTACCTTGATGGTAATAGTTTCACAGGAGGCTTCCCATCAAGCGTGCTCAACATCTCAAAGCTAGAGAAGCTCATGCTTTCTTCAAACATGTTATATGGGCCAATACCGCCTAATACCAGTTCCCTCTTTAACCTTACGCTTCTCCACCTTGATACTAATAATTTCACTGGAGCCATCCCATCAAGCCTGGGCAACATGACTAAATTAGAGGAGCTCCTGCTTTCGGATAATCAGCTCGAAGATATCATACCTGAAGAGCTTGGGCATTTATCAAATATGAACAAATTGACACTAGGAGGAAATAGACTATCAGGTAGCATCCCAACCACAATTTTCAATCTATCTTCTCTTGAAATTTTGGACGTCAGTGTGAATTTCCTACATATGGCGTTGCCATCTAACATTGGCAGTACCCTTCCTCTCCTCCGCGCGCTTAGCTTGCACAATAACATGTTCCATGGTCAAATCCCAGCCTCACTAGGAAACGCTTCGTTCCTCCTGGCATTAGATTTCACATCTAACAATTTCACGGGCCATGTCCCTAGTTCTTTAGGAAATCTAACATACCTGTACTTCCTAAAACTAGAACAAAACAATCTTGAAGCAAAAGACAGTGAGGGCTGGGAATTCATAGATGCCCTGGGCAAATGTACGAGTCTGCAATACCTCTTATTATCTGACAATCAGCTGCAAGGAGCCCTACCAAATTCAGTTGGAAAGTTGTCCAACAGCAGTCTCCAGTACCTACGATTAGGGAAAAACAACTTGTCAGGGATGGTTCCAGAGACCATAGGGAACCTTGTTGGCTTAAATGAGTTGGTTCTAGATCAAAACCAACTGACTGGTCCGATTGGATCTTGGGTTGGAAAGTTGAACAACTTGGTAAAATTATCTCTCGCATACAATAACTTCAGTGGGCCGATTCCATCGTTCATTGGCAGCTTTACTAAGTTAACATACCTCTCCCTACAGAACAACAAATTTGAAGGTCCAATACCTCCCAGTTGGGGTAAACTTCAACGTTTACTAGAATTGAATGTTAGTCATAACAATCTACATGGCCCCATTCCTGAAGAGCTCTTTAGTCCTACATCTTCATTGACCAAATGTGCATTATCCTATAACAATTTAGACGGTCCAATACCTCCAGAGGTTAGCAACCTTCAACAACTCATTGAACTAGATCTTTCACGGAACAAACTTGCAGGGGAAATACCTTCCAATTTGGGCGAATGTCGTCTGTTGCATATACTCCAAATGGACGGCAATTTTCTCACTGGGAACATTTCGCCTCTGAGTAGTCTAACAAGTTTGAACATCCTCAATCTTTCACACAATATGTTATCAGGCCTGATCCCATTAGAACTAGGTAATATGCCCTCTCTTACCCAGCTGGATCTATCTTATAATGATCTACAAGGTGAAATACCAAGGGATGGAGTATTTCGAAATGCTTCAGCTGTCTCACTTGTTGGCAACAGGGGACTGTGTGGTGGGCTGTTGGATTTACACTTGCCCCCCTGTCCTATTGCCTCAAGGAGAAAAGTAGTACAATACTACCTCATTAGAGTGTTGATCCCAATATTTGGCGTCATGTCACTCTTAATGTTGGTCTATTTTGTTCTCACTGAGAAAAGGACTGCACAGCAACCATCATTACCTCCTCTTGGTGATCAATTCCCCATAGTTTCATACAATGATTTAGTTCAAGCTACACAAAACTTCTCCGAATCAAACTTGATAGGGAGAGGAGGTTATGGTTCTGTATATAGAGGGAAGTTGATGGAAAAGAAGGTGGAAGTTGCAATTAAGGTTCTTGACATTGACATGCGAGGTGCTGAGAAAAGTTTCTTATCGGAATGTGAAGCTTTGAGAAACATCCGACACCGAAATCTAGTTCCCATCATAACAGCATGCTCCACAGTGGATATCAACGGCAATGTTTTCAAAGCTCTGATATATGAATTTATGCCAAACGGGAATTTGGACTCATGGTTGCATCAGGAAGTGAATGGGAAAGTCAGAAAACCTTTGGACTTAAATCAAAGAACATGCTTAGCTGTCAACATAGCTGACATACTGGATTATCTGCACAACGGAAGTGGGACAACAATTATCCATTGTGATGTCAAGCCCAGTAACATACTCCTAGATGATGACATGAAAGCTTGTTTGGGAGACTTCGGCATTGCAAAATTCTATCTTGATTCTAGGACGACATCAACTGGAGATTCAAAAACTATGAGCTCAACCGGTGTGAAGGGTACTATCGGCTACATACATCCAGGTACTATCGGGTTGCAAAATTCTATCTTGATTCTAGGCAGTATACTTCGAATTCACACTAACTCAATGTATCTTCAGAGTATGCTCGAGGTGGCCACGCATCAACTTACGGGGATGTTTACAGTTTTGGAATAGTACTGCTAGAGATGCTGACAGGGAAAAGGCCAACAGATCATTTGTTTGTGGACGAACTAAACATTGTCAACTTCGTGGAGAGAAGCTTTCCTGATAAAATATTAGATGTGATTGATGGTTCCTTACAAGAAGACGTCAGGAGTGCCCAAATAAATATGGTAACAGAAAATGAGGCCCACCAATGCTTGTTTTCTCTACTGCAAGTAGCACTTTCTTGCACACGAGAAATTCCGGGTGAACGAACAACCATGAAAGATGCAGCTAGCAGAATTCGTGCAATCAAGACCACGTATGCCGGAGGAGAACACAAGCATACATTGAACTGAAACCATCAATGTATACCGTGCCCATGCTAGCTACGCAACACAGATCTTGATATTGTACTGGTATATGCACTTAAAAAGAAAGAAGAATATTAAGATTATCATTCATCGCAGTGCACCAAATTGTTATGGAATTTCTATTTATATTACTAGTCCATCAACCCATGCCCTCGCATGGGCTAGAATTTTAGGAGATATAAGTATTACTTATTGTTTAATGCATCTGACTACTAAGAATTACTTACATTAAATTGTAAGCTTTTTCTTTTTGATTTTTTTCGAACACAATAGACATAATAGATCCTCTGTAATCTGTATCATAAAATTATTAATTGCTATTTTTTAATGGACTAATCTTTATATTTTTTCCATCCATACTCATATTTTTCTTTTGCATGGCACCTATATATATTTTAAAGATGCAATTAGTTTGAAAACTTACCTTTAAGTATGATGGATCTTGTTGCATCACATATCAGATGAAGTCATGAATCTAAATTTAGATTTTTCAAATTTTATTCCTATTGACTGCTCCAGATTTTCTCTCTCCTCAAGTTAAGTTAAAACTATTGAGCTTATTATATCTTAAATTTAACTCTCCTTTTTGCACTTTTTTAAAATAAAGAATTTAGGTTGTAGAGTACATTCTTAAATACTACGATAGCATAAGCCATCATTTGTGTGGGGCTTCGCCTAGCCTCCTACCCTCGCTAGAGGCTAGCACGGGGGAGGCCGATGGTTACCCGCATGGATGGGACAGCGAAGGTAGAGAGCAACAAAGCACAGGGGCGTTGCAATAAATTTTGGAATAAATGGCTATTAATTCATCCTCGGTTACTGTACCACCCACCGGGTATTTATAGGGCATACCCTGGGACGAGGTGAAATTACATTCTGCCCTTGCCGTTCAGAGCACTATTCTACAAAAATACAGGGACACGCCGGTCATTCCGTGCTCCTGCTTCAACTACTCTTCAAACGGTGCAGCGGGTAGCCATTTCCAGGGGCCACCACATTCGGTCATCCACCCGATGGTGCGGAGTCGGCCTTGCGAAGGTGGCCTCCCGCTCGGATAGCCTCGCGAACGATGTTCAAGCTTGCAAAGACACAGGATCAAAGCTACCTCCGCCGGAAGAGTTAGTCGATTACTCCTTATCAGGGAAATTTCCCTGGCAGCGAGAATCTCCGCCTGAGTGAGCGAGGGTCCCGCTTCTGGCTGAAGGCGGACTGGGGTGGCGCTCTGAGGGTGAACCCCCAACAGTAGCCCCTCGGGGGTTTGGTCCAGCCTGATGGGTCGAAGCTGTGCTAAGATCAGAGACGGATGAGCGGAGCTCGAGCTCATGGGCCCCTTGGCCTAAGTGATGTCCCATCTACCTTCGGCCGCTGGCGTTGGACCCGATGTGATTTGATGGGCTTCTCTTTTTAGGGTTCGGCTGCGTGTTAAGCGCGCGTGAAAGCGCGTTTCCGCATATTTTGGTGCGTCATTCCTCAATTTTTGGGATCACGCCGGGTTTGGTGGACGCGTGGTGGGGAGTTCGGGCCTATAAATAGGAGCGCTAGGTGGCATGCATTCTCTCCTGGTTCAGTTGCTGTTGATTGTTGCGGCTGCTGCAGGATCTTGTGCGAGGGTTTTCATTGAGTGGAGGTTTGGTGCTGGACGAGGGTTGCTGTTGGCGAAGGTTTTCATATCTGGCGATTAGATCTGTTGGACTTGGTTCGGATTGGTTGCTGGTGAGTTGTTTTGCTCGTTGCATGTTTGTTCGAGGGCGTGGCTATTGTTTTGTGGGCTGAACGGATATCTTGCCTTCGCTGTTCTCTATTTTTTGTTGTAGTGATGGCTCGTACTAAGCAGACCATGAAGGTGGTCGAGGGTTCGGAGAGTGTGTCCAAGCCAGAGGTTGAATCTTTTGACTATGGGGCCTTGCTTGTTACTGAGAAGGATCTGGAGACATACGCGAAGCGGAAGTAGTTTGTGAAGGGTGATGCAAGGGCACCTCGGAATGAGACTATGCCGCAGCCGCATGATGACGAGGTTGTTGTGTTTCGGGAGTTTTCCTATGCTGGCTTGAGGTTTCCTGTTATTCACTTTGTATTCAAAGTCATGAGGAGGTTTGAGTTGAAGTTTCATCGACTAATGCCTTCTTGCTTTACGAGGCTATCGGCGTTTGTGTGCGCGTGCAGATCTCAGGTGGTCGAGGATGATGAGGATGCGTTCTTGCGTATGCACAGAGTTCACTATCAGCCGAGGAAGGTTGTGGGCAAGGATGTGGTTTCGGTCCGTCAGTTTGGAGTGTACACATTCTTTTACCGATCTAGTGTGAATTTGCCTGTGCAGGCTCAGAAGAACAACTGGTCCTCGTCCTGGCTTAAGTATTGTTTTTACTACAAACTTGGAGCTGGTGAGGGTGTTGATGCTAAGTTTTGTGGAGACCTAACTTCGCTTTGTAGCAAGACTACTGAAGGGGCTGCAACAGAGGTTGCTTGTGGAGTTATTGAGGCGTTGCGGCTACTAGGCCATCACTTGTGTGCGCGGGGTCTCTTTGAAGAGATGATGTGCATGAGGGTTGTTCTACTTTGTGCAAACGAGGACTGGTTTGCTGTCTCAGCTGAGAAATATGAGGGAAAGGGGATGAAGTGTCAGATAGTAGATGTGGAGTCCCGCTGGTCTCGGGTGATGAACAAGGCTGCAAACTGGGATGAAGGTGTGGCCCAGGTTTACGAGGATGTCCAACGCTCAGTGCTGGATATAGTTGGTTATCTGGGCACCATGGAGATCCGCTAGATCCATGCCGCTCTGGGCGATCATCATCGATTTAACCGTCTTTTCGACCTCCTTAGGGTTGTGCACCCGGATGGTGTCGCAACCGCTGCTGGGGCTAGGAAAAGCGGTGCATCCAAGAAGGGGAAGAAAGGGGAGGGATCCGAGAATGGGACTGCCGAGGCGGGAAGCGCGGTGGTCAGGGGCTTGGCAAGTTGAAGGTTCGTCGTGACGGGCGGCCTGTTGCGGTGAAGAGGCCCACGTTGAGAGCTGAGGCCAGTAGTTTCATTGCTTCTGATGTTGGGGTAGAGCACCCAGCGAAGGTAGCTCATGTCGCCGCGAGTTCTCGGGTAGTCATGGGTGCGGACGGTAGTGTGAAAATGGTAGGCCTTTGATTTATGTTCATTCAGTTGGATTCTGAGGAAGAGGACGAAGGTAGCATTGGTGTCGAGAAGGCGGGTGAGAAAGCTCCAACTCGGGAGGATTCTGTTGATAAGGGTGAGGAGTCAGATCAGAGCTCCAGTGACGGAGAAAGCTCTGCTGATACAAGTGGGTCCTTAGAGGAGGAGGAAGAGGATAACATGACAGTTGATTCTCCAGAGGTACCAGGTGAGGAGGCAGATGTGGCTGAGGAAGAAGCTAGGTCCAACATGGACTGAGGGTGGAAGGTGGCTGGGGCGGCCTGAAAATTCAGTGGTTTGCGCCATGGGCGACCGGGTGTTCATATTATAGTGGATAGGGAGGATTTGGGTAGTGATCAGGAGATTGATTGTGTTGGGGGAAAGACGCCATATGGAGAGGCCAGACGAGACACCCTCGTTCATTTGGGCAGCCAATTGGGCACTGACAACGACCAGATAGAGCTATTTACCAGTTCGGACCTTCATTCGTGCAGGTTCGAGGCTAATTCGGAGGAGCGGAGGTTCTTGGCCAGTGTGTTCCAGTGAACATGCCTTCCTAAAGTGGATGCTATGCTTGTAAGGGAGAATTTTGATGATCTTACTGATGATGCCGAGGTTAGCGCGTTGCCGTCTGTTATGCTCGCCCGTGCGCTGAAGCGGAAAGGTGGGATTATTGAGACTAAACTGCGCGAGCAGTTGTTGCAACAAAAGGAGGCTGTTAAGTCTAAAAAGGCTGTAGTTGTTCACCTTACGGAGGAGAATGAGCAGCTTAAGAGGAGGCTAGAGGTGGCGGAGAAGGTGGCTAAGTAGAAGGAGGAGGTAGCGCAGAAGAGCCAGGAAGAATAGCAGCAAATCATGAATTGAATCCTGGACCTTTGGTCAGAGTTGAGGGAAATGGAGGAGGCAAAGGTAAAGGCTAAGGGGCAGGTGGCCGAGGAGAAAGATCGTATGATGTTGCGAGGGTGAGTTGAGCCCTACCGTTGATGTGGTGGGAGGTTCTAGTTTTACTGAGGTTGTTGTCAACTTGGTTGCTGAGGGACTTCTTAACGAAGTGGTGAAGGAGATGATCAAGGAAGCGGCTTTCGATGCCTGCTTTGAAGAGGATGCCCCTAGTGTTTGGGAGTATCGTCGAAGGGCTATTTAGATTGGCCCAGCCGCTATTTTGTCTTTGTTGGGGTTCTATTGTATGTTGTGTTTTTGTTCATTGTTTGTTAATGCATCGAGGATGTTGTCATTTGTGATCACCATTGTATAATGTTGTAACCTGTGACTGTTGTCGGTGGTTTGTTGTTTGTTGAAATAAAGGCGAGGGTTTGCTGATGTGTTGGAGAGTTTACTTGGTCTTGGCCGATACTTGATTTTGGGGGTGCCTTGTGTTTGATTGACGCGGCATTTCTTTTTATCCTGATGAGGCCTGCTTACACCCCTTTTTCTTATGGCGAGGATCCATTCATTGGTCAAAAGGATTTGGTCGATCCGGCGCCCGATTTTGTTTTAGCGAGGCTCACCCAATTTCGTTCTAAGGCTTAGTCGAAGCGACACCCCTTATCTTTAGCGAGGCTCGCTCGATTGCGTTCTAACACTTAGTCAAAGTGACACCCCCTTTCTTTAGCAACGCTCGCTCGAGTGCATTCTAAGACTTAGTCAAAGCTAGATACCAATAGAACTTGGTAATATGCCCTCTCTTACCCAGCTAGATCTATCCTATAATGATCTACAAGGTGAAATACCAAGGGACGGAGTATTTCGAAATGCTTCAGCTGTCTCACTTGGTGGCAACAGGGGACTGTGTGTTGAGCTGTTGGATTTACACTTGCCCCCCTGTCCTATTGCCTCAAGGAGCAAAGTAGTACAATACTACCTCATTAGAGTGTTGATCCCAATATTTGGCATCATGTCACTCTTAATGTTGGTCTATTTTGTTCTCATAGAGAAAAGGACTACACAGCAACCATCATTATCTCCTCTTGGTGATCAATTCCCCATAGTTTCATACAACGATTTAGTTCAAGCTACACACACTACAGCAGATTTACACATCACTGCCAGCCTCATCACTGCCGGATTTGTGAGAACCGGCAGTGATGTACTTTCACTGCCGGTTATGAGCTTGAAAATGAGAAAATGATTGGGGCTAGGCTAAAACCGGCAGTGAAGGACCACATCACTGTCGGTTTGTGGCTTGAACCGGTAGTGTTTTGGCGGCCACTTATCACTGTCGGTTCAAGCCACAAACCGGCAGTGATTTGGCTATATCACTATCGGTTCTAGCCAAGAACCGATGGTGATAAGCCTACAGCACAAAAAGGTTGCATACGTCCTCTTCTTCCTCCTCTCTTCCATCCCAAGAACAGAGGCGCGCGTTTGGGCCCTACCCTCCATTGTTGCGGCTGCTCTTCACCATAAAGCTAGCGCTTGGATTTTGAAGAATGGCTTGATCTTTTTGCTTTAAAGTTAGTAACAAACATCCACTCCTTTGATTTTGTTGCTTAATTAGCTTCATTTTGATGGCTACATTGCTTGATTCTCATTCTAGTTCTTTCTCCATTCTTGAGAGCACTTTTCCAATTGGACATTTGTGTAAGGCTCAAATTGTGGTGAATCCATCATCCAAACGGTTGGTGTCTATGAACACATTTAAATTCCTAGCTAATTATTCCATGGTGGTCAAGATCATCATTGTTAGTATGTGATGCTATAATTAGTTCTTAGAAGTAGACTAGAATAGTTGTTCTTCAATATTGTGCAATAATTGTTTTTACTACAATTTTCAATTTACAGGGCCGGGGCTACCAATTTCAATTTTCCAATAATTAGTGTACAATAATGTTTTCCAAAAATGGTACTTTCGAGCTACAATTGTTGTTCATGAAGCTCGATTTCTTATTTATTCTTTGTAATTACTGTCTCAGTATTTTTTTGTGCAGAGATGGATCGAGAGTGGATGCATCTGTCCCGAACGGACAAGCGGTACATGCATGGCGTCAGTCAGTTTATCACCGATGCCAAAGCCCATGCTGGGAATGGGAACCCTGTCTTCTGCCCATGCAAAGATTGCAAGAATCATAGGAACTTTTGTCAAATTGAGTCTATACGATCGCAATTGATTACCAGGGGGTTCATGCCAAACTATACGATATGGACTATGCATGGCGAGGTTGGTGTTAATGTTCTGCAGGAAAACGATGATGATGTGGACATGCCTGACGTAGCCATCCACGATGCTGACGAGGAACCCGATGTCAACACAGAACCTATGGCCACAGTTAATAATGTGTTTAGGAACACGCTAGCTGACGACACCGAGGATAACGATGGCATTTCTTGGCTGCTACGTAATGTAGAGACCGGATGTCTTAGTGAAAGACACTTGAGAAAGCTAGAGAAAATGAGATAAGATGGCAAAACACCATTGTATAGGAATTGTCCAATGAGCAAACTGGAAGCTGACATCATGCTGTTAGAGTTCAAATCGACAAACGGATTGAGTGATAAAGGCTTCGATCAGTTGTTAGGTATAATAAGGAAAACGCTCTTAGAAAAAAATAAGTTGCCAGAAAAGACATACTTGGCCAAGCAAATGATCTGCCCCATCGGCCTCGAGGTTGAAAAAAGCCACGCGTGTTCCAATGATTGCATATTGTACCATGGAGAAAAATACAAAAGACTTGGACAAGTGCCCCAAGTGTGAAGCTCCATGGTACAAGGAAGGGTCGTCAGATGAGGGTACCAAGACCAGAGGAGGTCCCGTAAAGGTCGTTTAGTATTTCCCTATAGCTCCCCGGGTGCATAGGCTGTTTGCATGTGCAAAGTCAGCCAAGCTATTGCACTGGCATGGCGAAGAGTGTAAGAAAGATACAATGATGAGGCACCCCGCCGATGGGCATGACTGGAGGACTGTCAATACTATGTTCTATAAGGACATCGGTGGAGAGGTAAGGCACCTTTGGTTTGCTTTGAGCACAGATGGGATGAATCCTTTCGACCAGGTTAGAAGCAATCATAGCACCTGACCAGTGACGCTCTATATATACAACCTTCCACCTTGGGTTTGTATGAAGCGATCGTACATCCAGATGCCACTACTGATCCAAGGCCGCGCACTCTGTACTCTGAGACCCGAGCTCGAATCCCAGGCAAGCCAAACTTTTTTTATTTTGCATTTATTATTTAGTTGTGCATTATGATGGGATAAAAGAAAAAAAAACCATTCTAACCGAACTCCCTATCCTAACTCAGCGGTTAAGGCCGCGCACTCTCGACCCCGCGACCCGCGCTCGAATCTTAGGCGGGCCAAACTTTTTTATATTTTTTACAAAAAGGCTACGATGGCAGGCTCCAAGCTAACAGTGTTTTTTATATTTTTTTACTAAAAGATGGGTGCAGGGCCCTTCACTTCTGGTTTTGGTTTTAAAACCGGCAGTGATAGCTTCTATCACAGTCGATTGCTCAAACCGACACAGAAGGCCCAATTCACTATCGGTTTTTAAACTAAAACCGATAGTGATGTGTAGATGCTCCTCACATAACAACAGTGCTCCCATGACCACAACAGTTGGAACACTGCTCCCACCTACCTCGACAACTTTAGTTCAGAAATAAAAATGTACCACGACTGCTAGCCCCTATAAAATGGCACTCGGCCAGGAGCTAGCCTCTCCATGCATGTTGGTTTCAGCTAGGCCTTATCAGCTGTAACAGAACCGACCAAATCATAAGAACGTAAGTACAAAAACAATCACTGAAGCGATCAAATTCTTGTACTTAAGCTCCCATAATCCCGGTAGTCCGGAATTCACGAAGGATTTCAACCAACTTTCGACATACAAACCAAGATTGTAGTGATTCAACACAACACATCATCCGTTACAACATTTCACAAGTCGCATTCGGATTACATCCATCAGAGTTGAAATAGAATATTACAAACCAAGTTTGAGTGTGCGGAAGCAACATAGTTTGGTACAAACATCATAGTTTTCAATTACATTGCCAAGTCTGAGTCATGTCCCACAAAAGCATTATCAGGTACGAGAACTAGTAGAGACCGTGCCCAACGGTCTAGTCTTCATCCCCAGCTGGGAGAAGGCAGTACTTGCAGCAACCAAAGTAGAACTGGTCATCTGCAACAGGTGGGAGATAAACCCTGAGCACGAGAAGGTACTCAGCTAGACTTACCCGACAAAAATCAGAAATAAGGGACACCAAGGATCATGCAAGGCTTTTCAGGTGGACTAGCTTGACACAGTTGCATAAAAGAGCTTATGATTATAGTAACCAATTTAAACTTAGCATCAAGCTTATCATTATTTACCTGCCCACTAGATTAGCACCTGTACTAGAGCACTCACTTATTAGGAGCAAACAATATTAACCATAGCAGGTATAATAAGGCTGTCATCATCATATCATCATTTCCGAACCATTAAGTTATTAAGTGTATCTACATTGGAGATAAGCCCGTCAAGTTCTCACTAACCGGGAGAGACGGCGACTCGAATCGAATTACAACTCAGCTGAGGGGGTATTCCTAACTCTCACCCTGGCATACTTTGCAAGGGTAGCCGTGGGTCACCTTTGGAACATCTCAGGAACCAAATTCGCGGGTTCGATCAGCGCCAGCACTCTCAGGGATTACCCTTCTGCCAGGACGATCAGGACTTTTAAATCACCTGCCCTTGGACTCACGCCTACGGCTCCCTTCCGGTACACCTATTGCATGCCGATGCAAAAGATAAATATCATGGATGCATAAGGAATGACATGATGCTCCTGGTGAATGAATCACAGTGAGTGTTTACGAAAGCATC